TAACAAGAAATGGACCATCCCATTTAGGTTGAAACTTGCCACCTTTTTTTCTTATGATTATGATTGGCCTGCGCACGGAAAGTACCAAATCTCCAACTTGAAATGATCTTGGTCGCACTTTTTTGTTGAAAGACTCCGCCATTCGAGTTTGATAGTACTCCAGGTGCATTTGTGCTTCTAACGTCTTCTCATCCAAAGCTTCTAGCTTTTCCAATTGAAGACGGATATTTTCTTCTGTTGTCAAACCTTCCTGGATGGCAATTCGAAGTGACGGGATTTGACACTTCAGAGGAAATACAACTTCTACTCAATATACTAAGGCATAAGGAGTGGCTTGTGTTGGACCGATTTTCTCATGCCAATCTCTTTTTAAATTGGAGACAACCTTTTTTTAGCAGTCTGCATAGTATTTTGTTGAACGCCTCTGCCAATCCGTTAGCTGCTGCATTGTACATGGACGAGTTATACTGTTTAAACGCAAGCTTAGCACATAAATTGTTTATGTGGCTATTGCAGAATGTCTTGGCATTATCAGTTATGATATGCCTCGGGACACTATATCAATAAATGATTTGGATGCGAATGAAATCTGTGACATTTTCTTTCTTTACTTCCTTCAATGGTACGGCTTCGGCCCACTTAGAGAAGTAGTCAGTCCCGACGAAAATGTATGCATGCCTTGCTGAAGACTTTGGAGTCATAGGTCCAATTACATCCAGACCCTATGCATCAAATGGCCATGAAGCTACTGTCAGATGTAATGGTTTCGGAGGTTGACGGATGAAATTCGCATGGACTTGGCAAGCTTCATATTTTCTTGCATAATCCATGGAGTTTTGTACCATAGTTGGCCAGTAATGCCCCATCCTCTTTATTCGAAAATAGAGTTTGGGTCCAGACTGATGGACACCATAAATTCCAGAGTGGGCTTCTTCCATGACCTGTGTTACTTCATCATCACTTAGGCATCGAAGGAAAACTCCATCAAATGATCGTCGATAAGTGTTCCTTTGTAAAAGGTAAAGCGAGAGGCACGTCTATTGATTTCAGTTTTTCGCCGTGGATTATCTGGTAGCTTTTGATGTTGAAAAAAATCAATTATTAGTTGTCTCCAATATTTTCTTTCTTCATCTTCAACTACTTCAATACTATTGTTTTCTTCCAAATTACTGGACAGCAATGACAGAAGTACCCATCTTTGAGCAATTGATATAGAGGGAGAGAAGTCTCTATCTGACCTAGCTAAAACATCGACCAAATTAGCTAAGGCATCAACCTCCCTATTTTCACTTCTCGGGATGAATTTTATTTTTACCGAATCAAATCGTCTCATAAAATTGATGCATATTCATGATATGGTTTAGGTATGAATTATGGACTTCATACTCAGTTAAAAGTTGGTTGATTATCAATTTTGAATCTCCAAATACTTCCAGCTGGTGGATATCCGTATCTAACGTTGCTTCTGAACCAAGGATAATGGCTTGATATTCTGCCACGTTGTTTGAACATTTCTCTGTTAAAGCAAAAGAGTAGGGCATGACGAGATCATGTGGAGTGACAAAGACTACTCCTGCTCCGGCACCATAACTTCGAGCTGCCCCATCGAAGTATAGCCTCCAAGATGGTATGATTTCAGTGAATAGAACTTCTTCATCGGGAAGGTCTTCTTGAAGTTTCCATCCCGCTGGAAATTGGGTGGTCAGTAAGGAAATTTGTCAAAACTTGTCCTTTAATGACCTTTTGTGGAATGAATTTGATATCAAACTCAGACAATAGTAGTGCCCATTTTCCAATCCTTCTAGAGAGAATCAGCCTGGACATTATGTACTTCAATGGATCAATCTTCGAAATAAGATTGATTGTGTGTGATAGCATATAATGTCTCAACTTTTTAGCTGCGAAGATTAACGCAAGACATATTTTCTCAATAGGTGAATACTTCATTTCAGCGCCTACCAGTGTCCGGCTTAAGTAATAGAGTGCATTCTATTTTCCTTCATCGTTGACTTGGACAAGAAGTGCTCCTAGAGAATATTATTGTGTTGCAACATAAAAGTCAGTGGCTTTCCTGGGACTGGAACTGTGAGTACCAGTGGACGAGACAAATATTATTTAATGCTTTGGAAAGCATTTTACCAAGCGTCGTCCCACTCAAATGGTACATCTTTCTTTAGCAATTTGTTGAATGGATGACATCGTCCAGCCAGGTTAGAGATAAATCTTTGAATGTATGCAAGTTTTCCTTGAAGACTTTTCAACTCAAGTATATTTCTTGGCTCTGGTATGTTGATTATGGCATCAATTTTTGATTGATCTATTTCAATGCCCCGATGTCGAACAACGAAGCTGAGAAATTTTCCAGATGTGACACTGAATGTACATTTCAATGGATTCATCTTCAATTGATATCTTCGAAGTCTTTTGAAAACATCATGTAAATCTTGTAAATGATCGCCATGTCTCTTTGTTTTAACAACAAGATCATCTACATAACATTCTACGATCTTATGCAACATGTCATCGAAAATCTTTTGCATTGCCCTCTGGTAGGTTGCCCCTACATTTTTTAATCCAAAAGGCATAACTTTGTAACAATATATGCCTTTAGGGGTATGAAATGATGTGAGCTCCTCGTCTTTTGGGTTCATCCGTATCTGGTTGTATCCAGAAAATTCATCGATAAAAGATAAGATTTCATACCTGGTAGTTGCATCGACCATCAACTCTGTTATTGGAAGTGGAAAATCATCTTTCGAAAACGCTTGATTCAAATCCCGAAAGTCAACACAAATTCTTAATTGTCGGTTCTTCTTTTTGACAGGAACAATGTTTACGATCCATATTGGGTATTTCACTTCGGGTATGAATCCAATTTCAATAAGTTTGTTGACTTCCATTTCTATTGGAGGAATTAGTTTTGGTCGAAATCTTCTTTGAGGTTGCTTGACCGGTCGAACTCCATGTCTTACTGTAATGTGATGCACTGCAACCTTAGAATCTAACCCCGACATTTCCTTGTAAGACAATGCAAACACGTTTTTGTATTCCTGAAGCAAATTAATGCACTTGAATTCCTTTTCTTGACTGAGAATGGTACTTACAAATACTGGTCTCGGGTCTTCTTCGTTCCCCAAGTTCAATTTTTTCAAATCATCCACAGTAGCTTGTCCCCCTTCTTCAAAGGTAGGTGGGGCTGGTTCAGGTTCATCTATTGCAACAGAACTTTCGAACCCAATGTCTGAGTCAGGAGCTTCTTCTAAGGCTATATGATTAACAGAGACTTCTTCCTTATCTTCATTACCTTGTGGAGATGAGTGAACTTTTTGATGCCTTCGTCTTCTTCTTAACCATTGTGGTTTCGGACTTGAATCAAAAGTTTTAATTCCAAGTCGAGAAAATGCAGATTGTCTTTGGGATGACATTTGGGGAGCTTGTGCATTCCTATCAACTTGGGTAGAAGAAGAAGAATCTTCATTTAATCTTTGGAAGACAGAAACTTTACCTTTTACGTTGACCACTGCATAGGGTTCTCCTTTTAACCTTTTAAACACTAAAAATCTGGCATTCTCATTTTCAATTCTATCGAACACTGAAGGTCTTGGTTGTTCTGATTTCTCTTCTGCAACTTCATAAATTTGAGCCATGATGATGGGGTTTGAGAAAACCTTCTTGACCTTAATCTTTCTCGGTGGATTAGGATCATATCCCAAATCATACCTGAGTAAAGACATCAGGGCTCCATCAGAATTAGAAGGGACACATCCACCTGAAAGGACAGCGTCAAGGTCACCTAATTTACGAGGCTCTCCTTTTCCAAACCCAGCATTTTCAAACAACTTTTTAACTTGAAGATTGTAACATCTTTTGAAAGTTTGTTTTGATTCAGTAGCCCCTTCTTGTTTGGACGAGGTGGAAATACATAGTTTTGATATGTCTAGAACGGATGTCGAAACCTTTGATGTAGGTTTATATTCTTTTGGGACCGCCATGAGTTGATGGGGCAGAAGCAATTTTGAAATACTAGGTATTGGAAACGTTAATTCTTTTCTCAATACCTCAACATCGATTGATTTTATTTGAAGTTTTTTTGCATCTAGATAATCCTTCAGCTGTAAATTTTGACTTGCCTTTGATAAGTTGATGAGATTGAGCAGCACTAGACGTATCATAATCATTTGCATCTTCATTGATTTTGAATCCAGACATGGTCAACCCTGCAGAATTGCATTCTTCATCTTCCATGTAGAATTTGGCATCAGCAAAATGAGATTCTTCTTCAAGGAATGGTTTAGACTCAGCTACCATACATTTAACTTCTCCATCTCGGCTATATTTGAAGCATTGGTGCCAAGTGGAAGGTACTACTCTAGTTTCATGTAGCCAAACACTTCCAAGGAGTAACTCGTATGATGTTTTGGCATCAATGACATGGAAGAGAGCTGAGGAGATTAACTCTCCTATTTGTAGCTTCAAGCTAATTATGTCAATGGCTCGCTGACCTTTCTGATTGAATTCTTGAATCATAATTTTTCTTCTGGACAGATCACCAACGTTAATTCCAACCTTCTTCATTGTTTTGATAGACATAATATTCATAGCAGATCCACAATTGACCATTATGCAATCCTCGAATATAACCGCTGACATACAGCGGCCTATTGTGTGGACGAGAACCCAGCTGTAAATCTTCATTATCAAATGTTATGGCGGCCATACAATCTTGAGGAGTTGTGGATTCAGTATGATCTAAAACTTTGCCTTCGTATTCTTTCAGATCGATTAATGCTGCAACCAAAGCCATCCGATCATCGAAATGAAGACTAAGAGACTTTGCTAGGCTCGTATTGGAAGGAATATTATTGAGTCGTGAGATAGTTTTCTTCTATTTTGAAGTCTGTCTGGATGCATTTTTCATCTCATTTTTCTTCTCTACATTGATAACATTAGATGTAAAACATTCTTTATCAAAGAAACCCTTGAGGAAATAATCACCCAAGGTTGGCAGTCTGGGAGGAACGCATGAAGCAGCTTCAACTCCCATCAATTTAGTGAATCCTCTTGATTTGACTTTAGACCTTCTTCGATTGTTCGTTGGCCTTGATTTTTTTGTCACAAGCATTAGAATTTGGGAGTTGTGGAGCCTTTCTACGACGTCTTTTCATAAGAGTCCATGTCCCCTAATCTTCTTCTAATGTTTCCTCTTTATTGGGTTGAATTTTTGTACCCAATCCCTCCAGCTCTATTCCTGTAAAAGGCATAGAATGTAATATTTTACCTATTTTGTTTGACATTCGATATTTCTCCTTCTTGTTTATGAAGGTGGACCAGTCGTCATCGATCCCGTCTTCAGATTCTGAGTCAGAATCTCAAACATCCAAGTCACCTGTCGTAATTTCTTGAAAGGTTGAATGATTGGGTGCGCTTGGTCCATCCATCTCTGGATAGACATAACTGATAGTGACTTCTCCGTCTACCTCAAACTCTACTGGGATGGCTCCTTCTGGAAGTTGAGGTCCAAACTTCTTAACTGAGGGTTTACAGGCATTGTGTACATCAGAGAATGTTTGTTTCTTTCCTGGAACGGGAATTGGATCAAATGATCCAAATGAAACCATTGAGCAGGTGGCTGTCGAATTTTCTCCAGTTTCAAGTTTGATCTTATTTTCTTTGTCCAGGCGAATAATAAGATCTTTCAAGACAAAGCATTTTTCCACTGGATGACTAATGATCCTATGAAATTTATAGTATTTAGGATGATCGATCTTACCACCTTCCTCAGGTCTTTTTGGTGCTGGAAGTTCGATTATTTTCTATTCAAGGAGCTGATCCAGAATTCCAAAAACTTCAAAATCTGAGAATGGGTACTCCTTTCCTTCAAGTTTTTTCAGAGTCACATGATCTCTATTTTGGACTTGTCCTTTGTTAGATCTGAACTTTGGTTTCGGTTTTGAGTTCGAGCTCGACCCTTGGAAGGCTATCTTTGCAGGAACAGTAGAAATTGTCATAGCCTCTTTGGATTTACCTGTCTTGATGTCCTTCTTTATTTCCTTCTTATTACGTGGATCACTTGATAAGTAACTCTCAAGCCTTGCAATTTGGAGCTTCAAGTCATGAGCACGTGTAGCCAATTCTTCGAATAAGTGAGGCATGTTTGCTTGGAGATTATAGAGTAATCTCTAATGCATGCCTTGTGCACACATGTCGATGGAAGATTCTTCGCTTATCCGTTCTTTGTAATTAAGCACAAGGTTTCTCCAGCGTTCAATGTACTCCACAACAGGCTCTTCCTTGCTCTGCTTTGTTCGAGCAAGTTCTGGAAGGCTGACAGTTCGTCGGGTGCTGTAAAAGCGTGTTTGAAACTCTCTCTCTAGCTGATCCCAACTATCAATTGACCCTACTGGTAAGTTGGTGGACCATTCAAACGCGACACCTTTGAGGGAGCGTACAAACTACTTCACCATGTGTCATTGTAAGTGTCTGCATTGTTACACGTCTCAATTAAATGAGCAACATGTTGCTTTGGGTTGCCCTTGTCATCAAAACATTGAAATTTCGAAGGTTGATAGCTGAGTGGCATCTTTATTTCGTCGATTAGACAACTATAGGGCTTGGCATACACCAAAGAAGATTGCAGTGAACCACCATCCTGGGCACGAATGGTGTTTGCAATCATATATTGAAGTTGTTGGACGGACAGAGAGCCAACGGAGAGTTGAGTGGTGTCATGCAACATGTTTTGAACAACTGTCCGATCATGTATATTTTGCTTTTGTTGGGGCTTTTGGACTTCTAACTCTTTGGCCTTGGAAGATCTTGAATTTTCCTGATCTTCTTTAGTAGGTGGATTTTGTGACTCTGGCCTGTGTACGAGTGCAGCAATCTGTGCATCTTTATCTTCCAACGACTTTGTTAGTTTTTCAATGGCTAAGGCCATTTGTTGAATTTGGTCATCTGAGCCTGATGTCGCTTCTGTGACCATGACTGGCTCAAGTGATTCTTCAGATGAGGCATCATCTTCCCACTTTTGCTGAGAAGTGGCATGAGGGGATCCAAACAAGGATCTACCACTGGAGATGGAGCCCGAACAAGAACTTCTCACTGAACTCATGGTCTTTTCGGTCGAATGAGAGTTTGGCTTTTTGAAGGCAATTTTCATTTTACCTTTGTTGAAGAACTTCTTCAGTGGTGTGACTAGTTGAGTTTTCCCAATTTTTGTTTGGGCTCTGGTCTCATGAAAGAGTTCAGCAAGTGTCCCTTCAAGATGAGTTATAGTTTGTTTCGCCTTTTCGCCTGCCATTAGTGATGTAGTAGTTGAAATTTGAAGATTTTGAGATCAAAAGATGAGAGGACAAGAAGGTCCCACCGGGCGTGCCAAGAAACTTGTACAATAAATTTCATGTATTAAAATACATAAATTGTTACAAATTGTATTTTGATAATTACAAGTGATGTTGACCTTCTTGTAATTGCAAAATTGCAAAACTCCCCTGATTAATGATCTAAATATTTGAAGACGATGGGTGACGTGGCTTGAATCCTGCTTTTCGAGAATTTGTTGAAAATTTGATTTGTTGAGATTTGATTTGTTCGGAACTTGAATCTTGAGGCTTGGACTTGGAATTGAATTTGATTTGATTTGAACAAGATTTTGATCTTCTGGAACTTGGCGTAAACCTGTTTGATTCGAAGAAGATTTTAATCTTCCTGGGGTTCAAGTTTAGATTTGAGATAATTTCTTTCATTCCTCCGGCCTTAGAACTTCTTCAGCATTTCGTGGTTGCCTCCTCTGCTTTTGCTTCTTCTTGCAAGCTTCTTCCCTTCTTCTTATGGTCCATTGGTCCTATTTATAAGAGATAATTTGTGCTAATTTTCATAATTACCCAATTATATTTAATTAAAAGAGATAATTGAGTAATTATTGTTTTATTTGTTTGTTTGTTTATTTATTTAAAATTTGGTTTGGGTCTTTGGGTTTTATGGACTTTAGGCCCCGTTTGGTACACATTAATGTAAAAATAAGAATGAAAAATATAACCGTTATGAGCCCCACACAAAAGATAGAAAGTCAAATATAGTGGCTTGATGTGATGGATAACGGTCATATTTTTCATTTTAATGGGCAAATAATGGGAACCAAACGGGGACTTAGTATACTTTAATCTAATTTGGCTAATGATTTAAATCGACCCAATCCATTTTATTTTATTTATTATTTTTTTATTTCTACAAAATTTTGAAATTTCGGCAACGAAATATACAAAAAAAAATTCATTAAAATTAAATATAAATTTTAATATTTGTTTACAACGAAACACACAAGAATCCCATATTTGGTGTGGATTTTTAGTATATTTTAATAAAAGTTGATAAAATATGTGGTGGAAAAGTTGTATATCTTATAAAACATATAATTAAAATTAATTATTGACTTTGAGCTTAATAAAAAATTTAGGGCTTATTTGAGCCACATTATTTTCAAAAAAAAACATTATTCAACAGTGATTTAACATCATTTCAACCATACATCTTCAATAAAATAATATTACACTCAAATCTAAAAAAAAAAATCTTATTTTTTAACTACACATTTTATATTGATTTGAGATGAATAATAAATGTTTTCCTAGAATGTGGCTCAAACATGGATTTAATTTTAGTTTCTAACAAACATAGACTAAATTTTTTGTTCAAATTTAATCCAAATTTTAACAATGAATTTTAATTAAATTCAATTTATTGTGAGTAATAGAAGACATTTTTCAAAGTATAACGATCAAAATTCGACTATCTAAAAGTTCAGTGAGCAATATAAGACATTTTTCGAAAATTAGTGAGTAAACGAAGACGTTTTTTAAAATTTAATAACCAAAATTCGACCACTGTAAAGTTTAATGGGCAATAAAAGACATTTTTCAAAATCTAATGAGCAATTGAAGACCTTTTTTCAAAGTTAAAGAGCCAAAATTTGTCCATCTTAATGTTTAATGACATGACGAGACGTTATATGTGCATTCCATCAACCACATCACTAATTCCGTTAGAGATTTCAAACATATGTTATATTAGTGAGTAATGTCCAATATTTTTCAGAGTTTAGTGATCAAAACTCGACATTTTAAACTTTAATGAGTAATTAAATATATAGATATAAGTTTAGTAACCATTGGAACAATTAACTCTACTCTATCACATGTACGACAATATCTTAATTGATAATCATACCATAATTAATCACTCAAGTAATTGTTATCACTACATCGCAATATAAAATTGTTAAAGTAAATAATACATTAGAGTGTGTTTTATTGGTATGAAAAATATCACCTAGAAAAGAAAATGTTTTCCATCTTTTGTGAAAAACAAAAACCACCTTCACTCAAGGAAAATGTTTTTCTTAAAAACGAGGAAAATTAGACATATTTTCAAAAGTTGAAAAATGTTTTTCATGAAAAAAAAATAGCAATCAAACACTTCAAGCTGGAATTTGGGTGGAAAACTGATATTTTCCATGGAAAATAAATGTAATCAAACACACCGTTAATGTTTAAATCTAAGACATTGTTAGCCTTTATTTTACCCTTTTTTTTCTAGTGTGCCACATAGGAATTTAGTGGAAACTCACAAAATATAGAAATTTGAAAACTATATTAAAGTTCAGCGGTCCAATTGAGATACATTAAAGCTTAGAGACCCAATCGAAATTTTACTGAAAGTCCAATGACTGAGGATGAAACGACACTCACCTGGAAGATGATAAACGCGTTTTTCCAGCTGGCTTCTCTGTCATCCAAGGAGAAATGGAGTGCGCTGGAAGGGGAAGCTGAACCACATGCTCCGTCTCGGCCAACAGAGCCTATTGCTCCATTTCTCACCAGGTCGTTCCTAATATAGAGAAATGATGCGTTCATCTTATGCTAAGCCCTTGTACTCGTTAGATGATTTCTCTTTATATGGAGCATGTACTGTGCGTTCTTTTTTTTTCTTTTCCTGTAGTTAGCACTATACATTTAATTTCTTTGTCGATTAAACAGTATAATTTGTTAACAGGTTTCCCAATGGGGTATGCATAAAAAAGAGTGTGAAAGATTACCACAGCAATTGAAGCGTGCTCATGTGTTATGTCTTGTGTGATTTCCCTTTACATTTAATCAAGAATTTCAGGTTTGATTTTTATTGTTTAATTGATTAATTTCATTTACTTATTTAAATTAATTAATATTTTAACGAAGTCATGCAGGAGCTTATTTGGGCGAAATTTTGTTGGTTTTCGGTTAGGTGTGTGAAAAGTGATAGGTGCATTCTTCATTGTTAATAGAACACGGAATTCACCTTACAGGAATGTGAATGTGTTAATGTAGTTGTGAGGGATGGTCTATCCCTTTCGATCAATCAAGGTATTTCTTGCTAATTTTTCTAATCCAATGCTATAACTGCTGGAACGGTTTGTACTATGAGCATGTTTGAGTAAGCTTATTGTTTCAATACATGTCTGGATATGTTAAGTTTGAGATTGTTTTGGTCACACTGCCTATTGATTTCTGGTAGGTTGCTTGAAGTTTGGAATCGTCCAAGTGCACTGCCCTTGTAAAGGTATTATTATTTCTAAAACTGATTTTGTCCAGCCAAAATGCCAAATACATCCCAAGAATAATAATTATAACCGTAAGAGTAATCATGCAGGGTACCTGAACTAAAAAGTTGGAAGGACTACCATGAATGGAGGTGCATCCCAATTTGTTCTCCTGCTGCTTTACTTCTTCACTTGGTATGTTATTTATTAATGTGTGTGAATCCATAAAAAGTGGTCTTCTTATAACCTTCAATTTTGTCATATATTCAGTGATGCATGAACATGCTCTATCTTACATTTAGTTGACTTAAATTCATGAATAAGGAGCTCTCTAAAGCTTTTGAGAAAACAATCAACTTTCGATATCATTCAAGCTCTGGTATATATATTTTCCTATGAATTCTCCATGTATATTTTGGCAAAAATGATTCCAGTCTGTAAGTACCGTTTTTGTTATTTGTTGTTCCAGCCACTCACAATATACTGGGCTATTCGGCTTGCAACTCTTAAAAGTTGATTCCTGCAATCTGAAATGAGCTGCACATACATTACCTAGGTATATTGTCTTCGTCACATTTATGGATAGTTGCCTTCTAAGGGTAGTTCTGTTAAAAAATTTAGTTTGTTTCCTGGTCATATTTCACAAGTTCAAGACATATGCTACTTGTGGAATTGTAATAATCTCAGTCCCACGGCCACATGATTCTGTGGCTATGGGTGAGTGTAAATTTTTTATATGTATAACTTGATTTTTTAGTTTGTCCTTTTATTCTGAATTAAAACTGAATTTGCTCTCTTAATAAAACAATTTCATAATTTTCTTTGATTTTATAATCATATGACCCCCGACTCACTGCACATCATTTAATTTTGGCCCTTGATGTTCTGTGTATCTCGGTCATGCTTTGTAAGGTTAGTTGATGTAATCTCTCTTTCCATTTTGGTAATAGGATTTGGACTTGTATGGAAATCCTAGCAGAAGCTGAAAGGCATGTCATAACCTCTGATCAATTGCTCACAATTCCTGAACACGATGAATGGATCTATAGTGATGGGAAGTTAATGACGCATGCCTTTATTCTTGCAATATATGTGGTCCACTCTCCAATTCAATTCAAGTAACTGAATTTACGGTGAGTATCTAACGCAACATCAGCATCTTCTGTCTTCATAGATAGACTAGAGGTGTAAAAATGGTGGATTGGCATGATAAAGCCCAGCCAATGGCATGGCGCATGGCACGATTTGGGTTGTGCTATGGGCCGGCCCTTTACATCCTTAAAATAGACTATTGCTATTATCATGCATCTACTGACAAAGCCTTTGATACTGCTGCAGACTGCGATGCCTAAATGCTCAAGATTTTTGAGAATAACTAGTCACCTATGGATTGGATGTAACAACGGGGACCATCAGCTTTCATTCTGCCAGATTTTGGGTGAGTAAATGGTATTGCCATATAATGACACTTTAGAGCCCTATACCAATAGCATTACTGTTACTTTGTAGGTCTATATGTTTAGTAGCACCAATTAATGATTTAGTGTATCGAAAAGCTAAAAAGGAAGACAAACTTAAGGATATCTTTGATCATTCCACAAAATATTTCTAAAGAAATTATTTACTGTATATGCATATATGAAAACTTTATTTTTACATGTAGAAAACAATTCTTCAAATGAATGTCATTACAATCTCTATCAAATACAGACAATGCAGCAATTTAATAATAAAAAAATACAAAATAAAATGTGAGATGAGTTCATGCACTCATATTATTGTTTTTATGGAGCTTTTGTGTTTTCTTGTGGTATTTATCTTTGATCCAATGAAAACCAGTGGTAACTCCGGCCTTAACTTTCCTCATTCCGGTGGTGGCTGCCACCTTAGTTTTGTCGAACTTGTGGCCGACCTTGGCGGAGATTTTGGAAGATCCACCACTGTTTGTATTGTTGTTGTAACTGTACAGTGGCTCTGGATCCCATTGATCAGCCCATGAGGTCTCATATGAACTATCGTAATTAGATGCCATTGTTATTTGTTAAACTGCAGATATAGAGAGAAAAATACACAAATGTATACAGAGAAGAGAGACTTGGTTTCAGGGTATTCTATTTTGGAGAGGTTGCAGAGTAGGCTAGGATTTTTATATGGTGTAATTTAAGCACGTGTTCCATGAACAAGTATAGTTCCTGGAAATGAATCTATTTTGAATGGCATACTTAATTATATGGATTTCTCATCATTGTTTATTGTAGTCAATACTCAAATTTAGGCTCCTCTTATTGGAAGATGGGAAGAAAATAAACAAATATTCGCGTGGGTTGTGTTATTTTACAAGTCAAGAAGGGATGAAGGCTGTCCATTTCTAGCGCTCGAGTCAAATGTTGTTCAGGCTACATCATTTTGGATATCGAATGTTAGTAGAAAGAAGGTTATGTTGCTTTAATTTTGTCGAATATGTCAAATTTACTTCACGGACTGTTCTGGAGGACAATTATCAGACGACGATAATCGAAGTACACACATTTGGCAACCTTGTCATTGACAAAATGTAGTACTTTCAACTATATCTACGCATCGATGTCATTTGGAGGACAACTAGTATGGGTGCTATACTAACAACTTGTGACAATCTTGTCGAGCCGTCTGAATAGTAGAGAATAATCCGTCTATAACATTATGCTCTATATGATGAAACTTAGTGAATGCGATGTCTGCGCTCCTCTTATTGGAAGATGGGAAGAAAATAAACAAATATTCGCGTGGGTTGTGTTATTTTACAAGTCAAGAAGGGATGAAGGCCGTCCATTTCTAGCGCTCGAGTCAAATGTTGTTCAGGCTACATCATTTTGGATATTGAATGTTAGTAGAAAGAAGGTTATGTTGCTTTAATTTTGTCGAATATGTCAAATTTACTTCACTGACTGTTCTGGAGGACGACGATAATCAAAGTACACACATTTGGCAACCTTGTCATTGACAAAATGTAGTACTTCCAACTATATCTACGCATCGATGTCATTTGGAGGACAATTAGTATGGGTGCTCTACTAACAACTTGTGACAATCTCGTCAAGCCGTCTGAATAGTAGAGAACAATTCGTCTATAACATTATGCTCTATATGATGAAACTTAGTGAATGCGATGTCTGCCCTACGCAAGTTTAGCATCTTACAATCTTTTCAGTATCGATTTTCTTAGATTGATTAACTATTTGACGGTTTGAGAGTGAATATGTACGAAGACGAACAATAGTTTCCTACTTTGAATCTCGAAAGATTAAAAAGAAGAATCTAATTATATTTTAAACATATTCAATTCATGTGTAGATGTAAAATATAGATTTCATATCTACAAGTGTCTAGAATGTTCCGATTATAAGCATGAATGGGAGTCTTAAGCTTTGTCCTCTTTTCAAGCAACTGTTAAAAATTGACTATGAATAATTCCAGAAGGGTCAAATAATTGAAAATTAATTCTAATCATGGGGTACATATTGTTTGAAAGTGATGTACCAAAATTCCATATTTGACAAATTGCTCGCTTTCAATATGTGGGAGAAATTTTAATCAAAATTGAAATATGGAATTTCTGTAATTAAATAGATGATTGGCTATATTTTGTCATTCCCACTAGTAGCAAATGAAATTCCATCTTACTAGGCTGCTTAAATGGATTAAGCACATACTATACCGTGGGTTTGCGTAGGAAAATCAAGAGTTGATCAAGTTAGGATTGACATTGATAATTTGAGGCTCTCATCAAAGTTTATTTTAGGGTTTTTTACTAGACAAGATTGTGACCATATTTTATGCTAGGGGATTACTTTATTACGTTTTTCTTAGAAAATCGTTGATCATGTGAATTGATTCGATATAAGCTAAGTTTGAGGCTGATGCTCGAAAAAATTTATGCTCAACACAATGCCCACTTGGGAGAATTGCAAAATAAAACCAATGTAAAAACATTCATTAAAATTTATTTTAATGTTAATTATGATTCTTGCATTTGTTTGGAGCCTTGATGAAAGTTCATGAAACATCCTGATTACACGATGAACTGAATAGCTAAGAGCGTTAACATTGCTTGCGAAATCTAGCCCTTGTTTGGCCCTTATTTCTTAAAACTCATTTCTCTAAACTAATTTTCAACTATATATTTAATAAAGTTCACACTTTTATTGATTTTTCAGTTACATATTTCACCAATTTTTATTAAAATCTACTAAAAATCTATTTTTTTAATCCAAACCAAACAGCAGCTTAATCATTTATGGTTAACTTTATGATTAACTTTCGTGTAGAATTTTCACCACCATTCTCAAGCAATCAACAAGAAAATATAGATTAAATAAGAAACTTGGCATAATCTTAGCCTAAATGGTAAAGAAGTGGTAGGGGCCATTACTTTTATTGTAACTTACAGTAATTAATTACTTTACTTTTTAGAACGCATCCAGATATCCAATTAAGAGAGCAAGTTGTCTTTGAAGAATACAATGAACCCAACCATCACATCCCAAGCTTGTTGAATCGTAATTTTGGCTCGAATATGTGGAGGAAATTTGTTGAATCACTGACTTGGGATTTGAGTTAGGGATTTTACATTTTCTTTGACGTGCTTTATTTTTTTTCATTTTACCTTTTATATTTGGACTATATTATGCTAATTATTCAAAAGAAATCAGTTCATTAGTGAATAAATAACCCAGTACCCTAGCCCAACTATTGCATTTAAAAAAAGTGAAAATTACAGAATCTAATAGATTTGAAATTCATATTTCACAAATCATATGCCATGTTTAAAATTTCACAAATCAGAAATCTTTTCTAATTAATTAATATTTTTTAAATATTAATAATTATATTACAAAATTAAATATACATATTCATCTCAAACTCTGGAACTCAATTATCACTCTCCTCTCTCTTCTCACCCTCTGAAACTCAATTATCACTCTCCTCTCTCTTCTCACCCTCTTTACCTACCCCACTCTCACTGTTTCGCCCTCCTTGCGTTCCACTCATCGACTCCGATCCCCACCTCATTAGACGGCAACAGGCAGCAGCACGCAGCGAGGACTGATCGGTGTTGGTGTTCAATGTTACCACTCATCTAGTATTCGGTGTTAATACATTATTTACCACTCATCTGGTCACTATGCCGTGGTGTTCGATATTAGTGTCGTGTCGCCATTCATTTGGTCGCCAAGATCTGCAACACCACAATAATCCACCAGACTGCAGCGGCGCGGTGTCAATTTGAAGCAGCCAACGTCGTTGCTGCAATCGGGGCGACCAGATTTGGGTTTGTAACCATTGGTTATACAGTGATTTTGGATCTGATTTTTCGGTGGTTGTGCATTTATTTTTGGATCTGATTTTTCGAGGTGATTTGGGCATTTTTTGTTGAATGTGGTGATTGTGGTGTAATTTGAGATAGTGGTTATGAATTTTGGTACAGAATGTAGTGTCGCTGACTATGGTGTTGGTGTTGGTGGTGGTGGCGTTGGGGTTGGGGTTGGGATTTATGGTTTTTGCAGTGGTTTGTGATGATGGTTGTGGTTGTGGTGGTGGATTGCGTTGGTTGTGGCGATTTGGTTAATTTTGTGGCAAATAATTGGACTCATGACCTGAAAATTGTGATTGTGACTCTCAATTGTAGCTCACAATTCGGGAGTCACAGTTGGTCGTGGCGGTGGTTGTGGTGGTCGTGGCGGTGGTTGTAGTGGTCATGGCGGTGAGCGTGGGGGTTTGGTTGACTTGTGACACACACTTGGATACGTGACCTGAAAATTGTGATTGTGATTTACAATTGGATACGTAACTTGAAAATTGTGACTGTGAACGTAAGTGTTGGTGGTGGTCACAAATTATTTGGTTGACTGTGACCATTAAATTGGTTAATTTGTGGCCAATAAATAATATGTGACCAATGAAAAAGATAAATTGTGATCCAAAAATAATGGTTGACCTAAAAATTATTAATCTGTGACCGATAATTTGATAATTTGTGACGTATAATAACCTGTGACTTGTAATATTTGTGATTTGTGACCAATAAATAAATTATGACTTATAAATTTTTAGATTTTTGACCAATAAACAAACTGTGACCTATAAAATTTTTGAATTGTGATCATAAAATAATTTGGGATATAAAATTTTTGATTTGTGACCAAAAAATAATAAGTGGCGAATTAAATCATTAATTTGTGACTAAATTATATAAATCCGTGACTTAAATATATTTAATTACTAAAATAATTAATTAAATAAATAAATTAAGAATAATTCTTAATAAAAATCCGATTTTTGAAGTTTGAAACTTATTTTCTTGTTTTTGAAATGTGCCATAATTAATCTCTTACTTATGAAATTTTCCCATAAAAAAAATCCTAACTTGAGCCTATTATTATCTGGACTGTTAAGATCGATACATTGAATTTTAAAATGTCATCGACGAAAAACTTTGGTTTACTCAAATTATTATTTATCCACATTTTATTGCTTCCATCGGATTATCTCTTCTCGATCATGTAGCTTAAGCATGTTGATTAGGAGAAAGATCGCGGATAAACTTTATAAATTTATCTATTTCAACTAGGTAAAGCTCTTCAATAAAAACTAATGATCAAACTAACAGTTTCTTTTATTTGGACTCTAAACAAGAATTTCTAAAAAGTTTGGTGCTGTCGACGACACAAATGATAGGTTTGGATCGAGTCTGCTATTAAATGAAATGTTTTGTATCATGACTGGAATTTTCCAAAACAAATCTATATCTTAATTTTTATGTGCCTTTGACATATTTTTCATTGTCATGTGATGTGTGAAATAAATTGTTAATTTATGATCACTATCATAATTAATATTCTCATCAATGTTAAATGTTTGATATTTTGTTGCTAAATAAACTCAAAACTATAATTCATAGAATTCGTTACAAGCTCATTATTGGGTTTCTAATTAATAGTCTATCCAAACCACAATTGACAACTTAATTGTCGGAGATGAGCCAAGACTCTTGTGTGCGTGGTCTGACCCATTTGGTTACTTTTGATGTGGCACCTATATATATTATTCACTTGGCCCCTTGGTGTGAATTACACAATACATGGTTTCTCCTTTAGCCCCCTTTTGAGAGAATAGCGGTTGCCCTCTCTGTGATTTTGGTTTTCGACGGTCGACTACGTACTTACGTTCTCTGTGACCAATTATTGCTCTCCCTCATTGGAGCTCGTCCCTGGATTTTGTTTTGTACCGCTGGCAACCCCTATTCGTGCCTCATTTTCGCCTTGTTTCATTGTTTGTTCGCAACTTCGTTTGGATGATTCATTTGTGGTTGAGGCCCAAGTTTCTTTGGGATATTCCTATGTTGGAGTTGTCTTGTGGTTTGGATGTTGATCTGTGCCCTGTATAATCCACTTTTGCTTGTCAATTCCACTTTGAAGGGCAAGTTTAGTTTTTGCTTTATCAATAGCGTTCACAATGTTATTATCAATTGATTCGACCTTACTTTTGTAATTGGTTTATCGTTGAAATTACACTACATTAAAATATTTTGTTTAGCAGCTTGCACATGACACGCTATTTTAGATATATATTAAATAATTGATGAGTTTAATTTAAATGCTTAAAATTTTCTAAATAAGACATATTTCTTAAAAGGAAAAAAAGTTTTCTTCTCCCCTAATCTTAAATGAACTACTTGAAAAATCGTTCTGTGTAACTACAAAGAGACTTCTAATTTCCAAGAAAAAAACCCCCAAAGATAAATGAATATCGTAAATATCTCTTCAAATAATTCAATTAATGCAAGCTCGAATTCTAATTGTAGATTTGAAGAATCACAAATTTTCTAATAAACTAGCCTTGTTATTCTCTCCTATACTCCGTATCTTGTTGAAATGGTGCATGTGACGCCGCATAAACTTCTTGACCATTGACCTGATCTGCATCTTGATCACATGTGATTTGAGACTGATCATTCAAAAATGCAGTGGACCATGCACCACCACCACCACCACCACCAGCAGTAGTAGAAGAATGCTCATAGTACAAGTTGATTGGATCAGGCTGCATAAAAAACTTTCTTGGTTGAAGCTGCAACTTCTTTTTTCTCAATCTTTCCTTTTTATGGGCATTTTGATGACCCCCAAATGCTTGTGAATTTTCAAACACCTTTGAACAATATTGGCATTCCAATTTCTTCTTGTTTTGTTGTGCCTCAAAATTCACACTCTCATGCCCTTCTACAAACCCTCCTTGATCATTAGTTTGACATGGATCGATCTCGAACCCAAATAGTCGGATGAGTTTTTTCTCCGAGCAGGACGATTCGCCGTCTCCATTACGTGTTTCCATCACTCTTGAAATCAAATGTACAAGAAATAGAATGTGAGAGTTTGTGGGTGTTGCTTTGTTTAATTTGATGAATTATGTTTAGCTTCTCATCCTTATAAAGGAAATCTTATTGGATTTTGACTATGCATTGCATTTTCTTTTTATTATTGTAATCATGAATAGCATAAACCTACAAAAGGTCAATGAATAAGGAAGTCGTATTAGGGTAAAAGTCTCATACAATATCTTATTTTAAAGTTTCTCTACACCACACACTTTTCCCACCAAAGACGGTTAAGTTTGGATAATAATTATGGGGGTAAGTAATATCCAAGTAACGTCGTGATAGTCTTGAAAATGCAAGCTTGTAGGTGGATGTTCCGAGGCATGCCCAAGATTCTGCATGCCGCATCATCCTTCCACGAAAACTCTCATTCGCATTCAAAAAAGAAAAAAGGTTGAACCCCAACTTTAAGGGTCCCCCACCGTCCCGTCCCTGGAGCATCGTGAGAGAGGTTAATCACGGGATGTGCCCCAACAGGTCAGGAAACAAGAGTTGTCTATACACTGGTGCCCACAAAGAGTCTCAATCCATGTTTCAGGAATCGAACCCTTACACTGCGGCTGCCAGCAAGGCTGAGTATACCTCACTCTTATCCTTTGCACCACTGTAATATGCCCCGGGAGGCCTCATTTACATTCAATAATGTCAAAGATCGACATTATTTAAAAAATCTACTACTCTCTCCATTCCAATTATATAGGCTAAGTTTTCTTTTTTTACTTGTCCCAAATATATAGGCTCGTTTATTAATTTAGAATATTTTATTTTGTTTCCTTACCAATATACCCTTATTCAATTTTCCCCATTTTATATGCCAATTTTTTGAAATTATCCAAATACACACATTTTCCATTTCTTAGAAACATGAAACAACTCTCATTTCTTCTTTTTCAAATTAAATCATTCAAATTCTTTACTAATTCCTGCAATAATTTTACTACTACATACCAAAAATTAAATGGGGGTAAACTAGGAAAAATCTTGGCAATAATTAATTTTTCAATGATATTAATCCGTGTGAAAAATGGATCAAGCCTATTTAATTGGGATGGGGGAGTAATAATTAGTAGCTAAGAATAAACAATATTAATTTATGTAATAATATGGAATTATATATAGTACACCAACTGAGCAAATGAATACTAATATTCCATGCTTGCAGTTGCGTCTGAAGTTTATCTTCTCATTACAAAGTACTTAAAATTGCAATTATCCCTTCTATTTCTTTTCTTGAGAATTAATAAGAATTAATAACTAAAAAGAATTTTATTTATTTATTTATTTATTTATTTATTTTTGAGTGGGTATAATGCTGCAAGCATGTATAGCGATAAGGGTTTCCGACAAGATTTAAGCATATCTTGTTAAAGCAGACAAACCCTAGATTTGGTATCCCAAAAGCATATGTTTAAGTTGAATCTAGTCATAATCTAGTATTAATTAATTATCCAAACAAAGGATTCGTGTTGCCCATTTGTTTTATTTGGTCCCACCTTTTTACTTTCAAGACTACTAGATTGCAAGTCATGTTTGGTTTAGCTTAAAAATAAGTAAAATTGCTTTTTAGAATTAGTTCTAGTAAATAAAAGTTATTTAATTTGAAAGCAACTTTTATTTCACCATCAAAACGATTAATTTACCGTTTTCAATTTTGATCGATAAAATATTATTTATTTTAAAACTTATTTATTTATAAGAAAAACTTTTTAACTTGCCAAACATGTCACTCCATTGTCCCTTACTACAATTTGAATGGGTGGACTTCTTGCCCACCAATTAATTTCTCAATCTCATCAATTCCCACTTCTCCTCTCTATTCCAATTGAATAATGGCTTTCTTACTTTATTTGAAAAATTCTAAATGGGCATGCTGTCATCAAGCATTTCACTATCTTAACGTGTGGAAATAATCCAGAGGAATTGGTTTGTGGCTGGGTTGGTGCCTTGTGGTTTCATTTAACAATACTTATCTCATCTGAAAGTTATTAAAAATGATAATATTTATTTATACAAGCTTCCTTACATACTAATTGACATATACATGTATCAGATATTTAGTCTCTGTTTGATAAGAATTAAAATCATATGCATGTATAGGATATTTAGTCCATATTTGATAATCTAAGTCAAAGTTGATTAATATTTATTTATATGAGCTTCATAACTTTTAAACTATTTATTTTATCAACTTTTATCAAAATATACGAAAATTTTTATTTTAATCTTCTCCAAATTTTCATAAAATAAGAACTAAATTTGAAGTCGAATTTTCATAGTTGTTTCCTTTTATCTATTTGTTAAAAGTTGTCCCTATCATCACCAACCGCCATATTAACTCTGTTCTAATCCAATGTATTTTGTCTGTATTGGACAAAATCACACAACAGAGCTTAAGCAATGAGAGATTTCACATCTCCTAAACAAAAGCAAAATTCTCTAGGCAACATCAATTAACATAGTAATTTGTTTGGTTTGTATCCATGTGAACGATGGAAAGGAATGTATGTGGTCAAATTATCATTTTTAGAAAGGGAAAAAAAATTGTTAGTTGTTATTATTATTGTTATGAAAAAAAAAAAATATATATATATATATACACACAAACTATTTTACTTTTATTTTAGAAGAGGGCAAGTTTTAATGTTGGCAATGAACTCGTGCTGTCCACTTTCTAACCAGGCTGACTCGTCAGAGTTTGACTCATTGACGATTCAACTCATTCCATTATGAACTCAAGGAACAACCCAGTATTAAGTTCTGTGTACAGAGCTGAGCTTCACAGGGGTCTTATCGAACCCTCACTGTAGGGTCGGTCCCACATAAAAAAAATACGTCGGGATCCGCAAGTTCGAGGGTCTGGTAGGGACCCCTGTAGAGGTAGCAGCGCTCACCAACCCAAGCTTGTTAAGTAAAGTACATGGGCTTCGTAAGATGGCCCTTTATGTGGAGTCCAGAACGTGGGCTTTGTAAAATGACCCTTTGAGTGAGTCCACGAGTGTGCCTATCCCTCACTGTAGGGTCGGTCCCACATAAAAAAAATACGTCGGGATCCGCAAGTTCGAGGGTCTGGTAGGGACCCCTGTAGAGGTGGCAGCGCTCACCAACCCAAGCTTGTTAAGTAAAGTACATGGGCTTCGTAAGATGGCCCTTTATGTGGAGTCCAGAACGTGGGCTTTGTAAAATGACCCTTTGAGTGAGTCCACGAGTGCGCCTATTTTGAGTATTTTCATTATTTATTTATTTACGGGATTTTTCCTTTTGTTTTGTCCTCTATGGTTTTTTTTTTTTTTTTTTTTTTTAATATTGTGCAACAAATATGGAAAAGCTCGTGGGTTATTGTTTGGTGATTCACAGGGCCCATGGGCCGCTTGGTGCTGCCAATGGCCAGCATAGATGGTTTTGATGCTCCAATGCCGCCTGTGGATCCCTGAGGCTCTACATTTACAGCATTTTCTGGGGCAGCCCTGAGAGGCTCATGAATACAGTAGAAGGCCGATTTTATGACGAAGGACTTGTTATTGTCTTGGGCACAATTGACAGTTGTTGGACAAATACTGGGCTCCTGTGATAATTCTGAGAAGCCCAAACATAAGAAAATTAAAAAATAAAAAGTGAAAACTACACCACATAAACTAAGAATAATTCTTTCTAGCACTAGTCGTGCTAAAGCGGCACTTTAAGAGACTAAACTTTATAAATTTAATTAAATGAGTCGTGTGACTTCACATTTAAATAAATATATCATTTAATGACATATAATTGTCATCTAGACGAATACTTAATATCAACGATGATGAACATTATTACTCATAAACTAAATGAAAAATTGTAGCAGCGACCCCTAACCTTTTCATTTTTTGCAGACTTTACCTTAACTTTCATTTTGTACCAACGAAGGTTCCTAATCTTTCATAAATATGCACCTGAGATCCATCTGAACAGAAACCGTCCAAAACATCATCGGTTGACCGGAAAAATTAAGGAATTAACATCCAATAAAATTGTCTAAAATACTGTTAAAAAATGTATCAATATTCAATAAAATCGTCGCCGTAACAGATAGTTCAAAAAATTTTCTCGGTCAATTGACTGTGTTTTGGACAATTTCAGTCCAAATAGACATCAAATGCATATTTATAAAAGGGTAGGGACCTTCACTGACACAAATAAATATTAGGGTAAAGTCTACAAAAAATAAAAAGGTTTAGAGACCGTTGCTGCAATTTTCCCTAAACTAAATATGTAAATATTGTTGAGTCTCAAACTAAATTTCGGTACTTGGGTTGGGAATGAAGTTGGCTGGGCTAAATTTTATTTTTTGGGCTGACTTAGTTTCTTTTAGATTCTACCATGGACTTGGGCTCAAATTTATTTTAGGGAAAATTTTATAAATAAGAGTTTAAGTATTATACATTTCAAAATCAATAAAACAAATTTCAAACTTTAAAAATTAGATTTTTATTAAAATTTATTTATGATTTAATAAATTATTTATTTATTTTTCTAATTAAATATATTTAGATCACATATCTATACATTTTGGTGACAAATTAATAATTTAATTAATCACTTATTATTTTCTGTTACAAATCAGAAATTTTATGTTACAAATTATTTTATGATCAAAATTAAAAAATTTTGTAGATCACAATTTGTTCATTGGTCACAAATCAAAAAATCAATTAATCACAGATTAATTTTTAGTCACAATTAATCAAATTATTGATGACAACATATTTTTGAGTCACGAATAAAAAAATTTATAGGTCACATTAATTTTTAGTCACGAATAAAAAATTTTATAGGTCACAAATTATTCATTGACCACAGAATCAAAACTTTTATCGGTCAAACTCAGCTATTCATTACAAATTATTATATTAATTGGTAACGAACAAATTTTCTGTCACAACTTAATCAATTATGAGTTACAGTCATAATTACAATATTTAGATCACATATTACAAATTAACCAATTATTAGTCACAATCAACCAAAAAATTAGTCATAAGCAATCAACCCTATCTCATCTTATCGCCCCGCTACCTCCAAAATATGGAAGCTGCCACCACCACCACTTCAACAACCAAAATCAATGCCTTACTGCCATCAACCACATGTACCACCACCCACTATCTCCACAACTACCTCCATCGCACCATCGTCAACACAGTAGAAAATTTGAAAAAAAAATATGAACTGCATACCACCATCGCACCACACACCGCACACTGCACACCACCACATCGCAAACATACACCATCGCCGTCACAACTACAATCGCAACCCCCACTGCCACAAAACTAAAATAACCGATATTGAACCACAAAAGTAACCAAACCAGTGTAAACCATAGATTCAAAACCACCACCCCAACCACTATCGCCTCAGTCATCATCAACCAATAACACCAACAAAAAACATACTTAAACCCTAAACAACTGCGTATCGTCGGCAGCCCAATCACCCCTAAAAATTGTGTCTCGACAGCCCCGTTCGTCGCATCTGTGTGTCATCGCAGCAGTACAAAGAGTGGAGAGAATGGTTGCAACTGTTTTTTCGTCAGTGATATGCCGTCGAAAGGCTGTTAAGAGTAGAGAGGAGATAGTTGAGAGTGGATAGAGAGACGGGTGAGAAGCGAGGACAACGACCACCACACCACCGCCATCGCCAATGCCAACACTTCCAACTGTCGTTGTCGCAACTGTTTGTCGTCGATGAAGTGCCACTAGAAGGCTGCTGAGAGGTGATGGCTGAGAGTGGACAAAGAGACGGGTGAGAAGAGAGATGGGAAAAGATGGAGAGGGATATAAATTAATTGGGGTATGTTATAAAATATTTATTATAATATTTAATATTTAAATATAAAACATCTTATTTTTGAAATATCAAATTTTCAATCTGATTTTAAAAGGTTAAATATTTAAAGTATGATTTTACGTAATTTTCATTTTAAACTTGTTTTCTTGATTTTGAAATTTGCAGTACTTAGGCCCGTTTGAAAGTGATTTTTCATCCAAAAATTAACATTCTGATCATTATTTTACTATTTCAGCTCTCATAGTGACTCTCACTTTTTTCCAAACGATCAAAAAATAAAGTTTCTAAATCACTTCCAAATAAAAATTTTCCCTTTTCTTTTGTGCTGGCCCAGGCCTTCCCCTCCATTCACCCTGTTCCTATATATGTAATTGTTACATCTCGGTATGACCCAGTTTCAATTAGTTAACTTCTTGCCGAAATACAGGTGGGCTTCCTTAAAACTTAATTTATTTTTATTTTTTTTTAAAATTATTCCAGTTGATTTACCTTATATCTATATATAAATTTTCAATTTCGCTTAAATTTTATCGGCTTCTTGATTTGCATGAATTGCAACATTTTGATTTGATTTTCCCACATCCTTTTGAATCGGCATCTGAGTATGCCCATTCTTGATTTAATGGGTTTGATTAGTTCTGAAAGTTGAGATGGCTTGATTCAATGGGTTAATTTAGTTCTGAAAGTTATTGGCTTTACAGCTTTACTGGTTTGCTAAATTCTGTCTGTGCAAAGTTTGCACTTTTTTCAGATTTGAGCGAAAGAAAATAAGAATAAAATATTAAATAAGCAGATCAATGCTTGATTTGAATTTCATGTGGATTTAAATTTATTTAAACATTATTAGATTTGAAATGAAGAGGTTTTGTCTCCCTTATTGAATAATTCTATTTTGTGTCCCATAATTTCTTCTCGTTCATCTTGTGATATTTGATGCTTCTGAAAAGAAGTCTAATTGCACATCATCAGTTTAGTTTGTGCAATTCTGCTGATTCTGTCTAATTTTGTCTGATAGCATAAATTTGGATATTCTGATGTGTATTTTTAAAATTTGTAGATTTTATAGTAAAAAAGATTTAATTAAAAATTATAAATATTGAATAAGAAATGGCTGACCAGAAGAAGAAGCAATTCACCAAGGTCAACCAGCTGCGCCCGTTAGACACTGGGCTTAACTTAACTGTAAAGGTTGTCAATGCAAAGACGATAGCACCGAGAGGACGTGCTCAAGGCCGCCTTGCTGAATGCTTGGTGGGAGATGATACGGGAATTATTATTTTTACCGCCAGAAATGATCAAGGTTGGTTCTTATTCTTTCCGAATGGCAAGTGGTTACTTTTTATTGCATAGACTTCGTTGTTCATCTGATGTCTGAATGTTGGTTGATAATGCGGTTGTATTACAAAGGCAATCTGTTTCCATGACTTTAATAAAGTTTGAATTGTGCATTCATTGTGCCAAGTTTTTTTCATTTGTTTCACTTTATTATCTGTCTTTCTTTGTCGTTTTGTAAGAATGTTTCGGGGTTTGTTAAGGGAGATTGTGTTGGCATTGATAATTTGATCTTCGCATCTTTCTTATAAGAAAAGCACGATAGTAATTAGTGTTATTTAAAAGAACGATCACCAAACTATAGCCAATGCTAGTATGTAATAACTTTGAAAAGTAACTCAATGGTCACTGAACATTAATACGAGTTACTCATCCATTACTCGAATGGATTCATTTTCATGGCTTTGATGGTATTGACCTTGTGATAAACGGTAATTCTATGTGGCACTATTTAAATGTTATTTTAGGCCAAATCAGCAAAATATGAAAGGGAAAAAAGGAAAAATTTAACTCAAGCAAAACGCGATTCACCACTTGCCAGCAGCAAGTATGCTGGCCCCACCCTCCTTAATCCCTTCATCACCCACGTAGCACCATAAACTCTCCCTTTCCACCATTGAGACAACCTATCAAAACACATTTCCACCATTAACACAATCAAAACCCATTTTCAAGATCTGCAAAATTAGAGAAAAACCTATATATACACATCCAAGCAGAGAACTCACTTGCAGCCATTTTCTGATGATTGTACATTCCATAAATCGTTTTTTGGTCTGGGTTTACATTCACAGATTATATGTTCATTGCCAGAGAATTTGAAATTGCATAAATTGAGGCAGCGAATCTTGGCTGTGAAATTGTTGCAGTTCCCTGTCTTACATCCGCCCTGTCTCTTAACTTTATCATTTAGTTTGTCTAAACAAATTCAGGATGAAGATATTATATGGTTAAGGATTGAAATTAAAAAAAATAAAAATAAAAACTCAACTGAGGGTGGTGGTAGTGGCATTAACCAACAGATGCGCGGCTGACTTGCCATCAGCTTGTAGTGATATGGCCGGGCTAGCTTTGGGAGTGTGAAGGTGAGGAGTGGAGAGGTGGGTTGTGGGGAAGCTGGAAACCCACAGTAATTATTTAATTCCTTGTGTCTCACAATCACCAGAGAACATACCTAAATTTTTCATTAGATTTAACAGACCTCATTCTATATCTAGCCCAAGAATTTACCTGACAATATGGTTTCTTTATCTTGGTAAAGTTACTTCCTTATCCCTCTGGGTTCACATTATTTTTTTCTGATGGTGATATGGTTTCTCTAGTCTTGTAGTGCCCATTAGCTGTAGACCGTCAAATGCTGCAAGCATACAGGGTGTGTTGGGGAAATTGTGTTTTAAAAGATTATTTTTATATGTTATAAAATACTTCATTTGTTTAGACTTTGGAGAAAGATCTTTTGTAGGCTAGGTTGATATGATGATTGTTGTTTTCATTCTACAATGGCGGGGAATTTGTGTAAGAGTTCGTGAGTCATAAGGATGGAGATAATCTACATTAACTTTAGGATCTTGTTTAAAAGCTATGACTTAATAACAATATGCATCTGCACTCTATTTGGACTTCTGAAATATGAGTTTCTCGGTCCTTTGATAGCTGCCCAATATTTATCCGCACTCTGTTTGGATCTCGGTCCTTTGATAGCCATCCAATATGTATCCGCACTCTGTTTGGACTTCTGAAATATGAGTTTCTCGGTCCTTTGATAGCCGTCCATTTCTATTATTGTTTCCTTTAGTTGAGACTTGGAGTTTCTTAGACAGGATTGTGTTGCTAGGCACAGAATAGATATTAGCTTACGAAGTCTTGTTCTTTTGTTGGATGTTGATATTCTCCTTTTCTATGGTTGTTTCAATTTGTTGTAAAATGTACTGTGCTTTTCCGTTCTTTATTAGTTTATATGCATTTTTTTTTCTGACAAACTTTCTTGTCTTTAGTGGACTTGGTGAAAGATGGTACCACCCTTGTCTTGTCAAACGCAAAAATCGACATGTTTAAGGGATCAATGAAGCTTGCAGTCGACAGATTCGGCCGTGTTGAAGTTAGTGAGCCTGCCAATTTCTTAGTGAAAGACAATGTCAATATGTCGTTGATTGAATTTGAGCGTGTTGATGTAGTGGTTTGAGGCTGCTTGGAATTTAGGCCTCTTCTCAAACCATTCCAACAACGTTTTATTTGCATACGTTAAGGATTTTAAAGTTTCATTTAGGAGAAGTGAATTCATCTTGCTAAAAACGGGCTGCTGGTATTTGAGCATTCATCCCTCGTGTTTTATGTCACGATGTATCTACAACAATAATTTTGTGGAGCTTTTCGCGAAATGTAGAAGATTGCAATTTATCTGATATCGTAAAATCTTCTTGTTTATTCCGCATTTACTTCTCGTATTGCAATGTATGAATCTTGTTCTTGCTTTAGCATTACAAAATAAGTTCAGATCTTCTGTTCAAGGCGAAATACGCTAAGGTAAAACCAGATAAACGAGCAAGCTGCCATGCACTTGACATGGATCGATTCAATGCTTATGTTAATAAAGCTCCAAGTTAAAGAATAATGTAAACCACATAGCAATAAAATCTAGGTCAACATGCTACCCAACGCAATAATATGCTTAAATTAACATTGCATTTTGAATTCAGTTTGCAATATAATTTTCCCTTTTATGCAATTTTACTTGGGGTGTTTTTCTCATACTTTATACACAAACGAATAAGTAAACCTACTTTCCTCCTGCTGGTTGAGAGTAACTTCCCAAGAACAAATAATATACGATTACACGGGTCACGCATCGAACTTGACAAAGCTATGTACCAGGAGCAAGTCAATTGTTAACGTAGGCCCATGTCTTTGATTAATCGCTGAAGTTTAAAATGCGAGTTTTAGTCACTAAACTTAGTTCCATGACTTCGATTGCTCGCTGAAATTTAAAATGTCGAATTTTGACCACTAAACTTTGAAACATATTATACATTACTCATTGAACTTTGAAAAATATTATATATTACTCATTGTAAACTCAATATTTTTCAAAATTTAACAATTATGCTAATGAGTAGCGTACGACATATTCCAAAGTTCAGTGGCCAAAATACGACATTTTAAGCTTCAGTGAGCAATATAAAACATGGAGGTAAGTTCAGTGAGCAATCAAAGGCCTAGATTAAGTGACCAAAACTCGATATTTTAAATTTAAATAACCAATCAAAGACATGAACCTAAATTCAGTGATTATTGGAACAATTAACTCAGCAGGAGCCTTGGACACCAGCTTTACTGAAAATTTGCCTTTCTATACACCAAACAATCATGCTGTAACTCCCAAGGGAACTGATGGTGCATCACTGCGTTTACTGAAACCTGCTAAGAAAAGGAACAATGATTTTAAGGAGCTGCATGAAAATATATACTCTTCACTAATCGTATACTCTCTTCTACGGCACACAATTCAGCACCGACATTATTTCTTTCAGGAACTTGTCTAACACGAGCTCGTGTGAGTTCGTATCTATGCTAAATTGCATATGATGTGCTTGAATAGGAAAAGAAGACTAGTTCGTTGTTAGATGCACTTCTCTTCTTAAGCTTATTCCGAAAGCTCCTTTTTCTGCTGAAAGACTTCTCCTGCAGCAAGAATATGCGTGAAGAACGTTGCATAGATAATATGATATCCAAAAACAACAGGCACCATATTGGATGACAAGAAAAAAATAATTGGAGGCCAAAATGTACTTCCGTAAACTAAAGTTAAAGCACCAGAAAACAATTATTTGTTATTGCAAATTTCACTAAAAAAATTTGTTCCCAAAAATTTCAAGTGAAATAAATTACCATGGTCGGACCCAGCTTCTCAACCTGACGAACTGCAGAAATGAGATCACGGTTTGCTTCTGTATACATGCTGGTAACTGTAGGTAAATTTTAGAGAATCAAATCAAACCGAAGGCCTGTGTATTCACAGTTTTCTTAAATCGAATTCGCCGCCTCCCCAGAGTGCAAGAGGTTTTGATCGGTGTTCGATTCCCAGGATACAATTGGTTGTTGGTTCACGTTGCACTACGTTAATCGCCTGCGAACTAGCTGTGATATACTCTATCTCACAAAGAAATTATAAGCACAAGGAAGAACTTGAAAGTGAGAAAAAGAATATTGTTGCTTAGAGGAAGAAGCTTGCATTTCACTTATGATTTTCCAATCTAGAGAGACTCCTATTTATACCAATGGAAGAAAAGCTAGCTCATTAATCAAGGAGTTAAACCATTCATTGATAAAGGAGTTAAAAACATGAAGGGACTTGAGTTACTTGAGTTACAACATATGAAGAGACTTCTATTCAATATTTTTCATTTAATTCTAACAGTAACAAGGCCAGGTTGACCTGCTCTAGCTGTGCGACCCACTATGCAGAAAATCTACGGCAGAAGAAGCAAATTCTGCCAAGTATAAAAATCAAGATAGCTATTAGATTTAGATGAACACAAACAGCATATTAAGATGTAGATCGATAACAAGATAACAAGACCTTCAAGCAAACTGTATATTATTTCAAGTCAAGGAAACGCCAAACTTCTCCTTTTTACTTTTCAAGG